ATTACTTTAATGGTAAGTATTTCATTCAACGATGGGCAACTAATGAGCATGGGGGAGTGGCAATGTTTAAACCTTCCTAGTAGGAACTATTAGACGATATAAAAAAAGGATTCGGTGGTAATATTTTCTTTGCTGGAGAGTATATGAGTCTTCACCATGGATGGATTGCTGGTTCCATGGAATCTGCAGTTACTGCTGTCAAATAAGTTTTATGCAACAATGAAATTACTTATTTAAGTAACTCAAAAAGAGTATAGTGTGCAAATATTTTGGTCTTTCCAGCAATTTTAGAAGACATGAAAGAAAAAACACCTCTAACGAACTGACTTAACTTTAATTTTTTAAACATTAATGATCATTGCCCACTTTTGCCATCTACCACTGGCCACCATCGTAAATCCAGATGGGGTCCATGCTTACAGTTGACATCTCTTCTTTCAAAAAGTGCTTAGAAATCTCACTATCCTTCTTCAGTCTACCAATGATAGTTTCGTCCATCAGGGTAACTTATGGCGAGACTTTAAAGTCTGGTTGAACTTAGTAGCTGCTCGACTGCTGTAAAGATTTGCTTGAGATACTTTATAAGAGAAGTCTTACCAGTGTTAGGAACTCTATGTAGGACAATTCTACCTCTATCGATTCTTGTGTGAGAATCAAACATTTGCTAATTGCATTTACAGCATCCAAGAGACCTCATTAGCAAGTTATTTAGCTGCAACTAGTTGAAAACTCTATCAAGTCTTTACCAATCCCAACCCCACTCAAAGTCTTTCTCAAGTTCTTGGGAATGAAATATCTAACAGTTTAATGCAGATTAACACACTCTCAATGGCTAGTTGGTTTTAGTAATATGGCTAGTTAAGTATTGGCATGAGCTCAAGTTCTTCGAGCTCCTTTGCATTCATGTATCTTATCACTTCATAATCCTTATAGCTTTGCTAACAGAGTTTTTAGTTTATTTTATATATGTCCTAGCCTCTAAGTTTTTTACTCTCTCAATAGTCTGAAAGCGCTAATAGTATGTGATAAATATTAGATTTTTGAGTGGGCATTAGAAATTAAATGTATTTCATTTCTTCTTTTGTTCAATCTACCACAAAAACTTTTCTTAGGGCCAAAGGCTTCATTCCATTTATTTTTTATGCTTATATGTATTTATATATATTCAACTATCAACTATATTTAATAAATGGTAAATGCAAGTTGTTCGGTGGTGACGAAAGAGGAATGACTAAAAGATGGGAAACATGATACGGCATAAAGTTTTTAAAATAAAATTAATTGTTTTAATATTTCTCAAACATGTGAGTGTTGGCTAATCTCGTTAGCCAGTCCGTTGAGTAGCTTACTGACCTTGACTTCTTCATCGTTTGGGCTTTGTAGGAAATAGGGAACCACAAAGCCCGGGGATTTTCCTTCTGGTGTCCCACAAATACTTTACCAGCAATCTTCCCGTCTTTCTAAACTTCTATTCCTTCAGGCAGATAAAACAGTGTTTGCTTCCAGTGAGTTAAAGGATGATCAGGAGAAGTGGACAACATTATGTTGTCAGTCATCGCAGCATCAAACTAAGTAGCAAACCCGGTAATAAAACAGTCCTCGAGTAGAATCAATTCAAAGGTTTCCTAAATTATTACTTTACTTCATTTAAATCATATAGTATTTTTCAACTCATTTAGCATCTCAGCACCCACCTCGGGGTTTTGGGGTTTTGGGGAGATCGGAAGAGCG